GAGGCACCAAAAAAATTATTGTGCCCTGGGTTCAGGGTGCTGAAGATTCACGAGGCTCGTAACAGACACGCTGGTGTGAGTGGCCCACATGCCCTTCTACGTGTGTCTGAAACAGGAGGGAGAGTGCCCCACCCACCGCGTGCCCTCCCCAGTCTGCACAAAATGTACTCAGGGCAGCACCTGCCCTGGGACTCACTCTGTCTTTGTCGTCGGCCACGTCACACAGGATGTCGTCAAGGTTGAGAATCCCTCCATCCCCGTGTTCCAGCCGGTGCACCTGTATCCAGCAGTTTGGATCCTGTGAAAGGAACAGAAACGCCGAACACAGCAAGTCAGCATCAGCAGCAAAGGGCACGCAACAGCACACTAGGATGACATTCTGCCGCAGACAGGACCGGACCCCATCAGCAACACCGCGATGGGCTGATCGTGCAGGGGCCCCTCTTTGGCTGGGCCCGGTTTCCTCTCTGTAGGACGGGGTCACTGGTGCTCGCACGTCCCTTTGGCTCAGACGCTGACCCGCTGTTATGACAGAAACCATGGAAACCAGCACCCTCGCTGTGCACGGAACACTGACCTCTCTGAAGTGTGCAGGGGTCCCCACTGTCCAGTATGGAATCCTTCTCAATCCTCCCAATCCAATCTACTAAGACATTCTAACAAGCAGGCAGCATATACAATACATCTGAAAACCTCACGTCCCAGCCCGTCTGAAGAAAAGGAGGCTGCCTGCCGTGGTGGCGCAAAGCCATCGCTACAAACACGTCTAAATACATGGACACAGAAGAGCGCTGACAAGAGCACAAGTGCGCTGAGTCCGTTTCTGTCAAGAGGACATATGCCCACAGACATACCCCCAAATACACCCCAAAACCGGCACCCATATCCCCAACAGGGAGTGGGCCTGGGGGAAGGAAGACAAAGGGACTTAATTCTAAACGTCACACACATCTGCTTGGGTGTCTGGGTGTGCGTGCACACTCACGTATGTGCATATGCACACATGCACACACACACACTAGAACATAAAGCCAGGCCCTAAAATTGTCTGAGGAAAGAACATAGTTGTTTTCAAGCTTCTACAACCTGTCCCATTCATACCCAAATGAGAACACCCTGAACTGTCTTTCACCATGAGCTCCTGAATTGTCCACAGCACAGAATTACTGATAAAAAGTTCAAGCCAGGTTTCAACACTCCATTTTCCCCACCTGATCAGCTGTGCTTGGTACAGCTCTTTCTTTAAGGGAAGGCTGGGATTGAGGAGGCAAAGGTGAAGGACAGTTAAAACACAGGATCTGGACCCTCCCCCAGATCCGCCGACTCAGACCTTCCAGGGCTGGGGCTGGGGAATCTGGACCCTCATGAAGCCTCCAAGAGAGAATCCTCCCTCACTGCTGGTGGGATATAAACTGGTGCAGCCACTATGGCTAACTTAAAAAACTAAAAACAAGGTTACCATATAATCCAGCAATCCCACTCCTGGGCATATATCCAGAAAAAATGAAAATTCTAATTCGAAAAAACACCTGCACCCCAACGTTCACAGCAGCACTATTCACAATGGCCAAGACATGGAAGCACCTAAATGCTGACAGATGACTGGATGAAGAAGATCTGGTATATTTATACAATGGAATACAACTCAGCCATAAAAAATAAAATAATGCCATTTGCAGCAACATGGATGGAACTCGAGATCGTCATACTAAGTGACGTGAGTCAGACAGAAAAAGACAAATATCATGTAATATCACTTACATGTGGAATCTTTAAAAAAAATACAAATAAAAACTTACCTACAAAAAAAATAGACTCACACAGAAAACAAACTCATGGTTACCAAAGGGGACGGGGGCGGGGGAGGGCTAAACTAGGAGTTTGGGATGAGCAGACACACACTACTGTATATAAAATAGATAAACCACAGAGTCCTACTGTGTAGCACAGGGAACTACATTCAATATCTTGTAATAACCCATAACGGAAAAGAATCTAAAAAATTAGACTTGTATCTATAACTGAATCACTTGGCTGTACACCTGAAGCTAACACAACACTGTAAATCAACTACATTTTAATTAAATACATATATCCAATAAGAAAAAAAAGAAGTGTTAACTTACAATGTAGTTATGAAAAATGAATAAATTTTAAAATTCGTATTTTCTTGCACAGTAATGGTTAAAATGTAAATACTCAATCTATTCGTTTCATCTAGCAATTCCAGGCTTTCAAACACAAGTAAAATAATGTTACTACTAATGACAGAAGTGCCAGTACGTGTAAGGGATAAGTACTTCTATTATCCTTTCACATGTTAATCCTCCGCATTTAAAGGTTTCTTAAACATTGGGCAGATAGATCTATAGGCCAAAAACAAAATCTCAGAAATGGAAAGAATATAAATCAAAATACAGTAATGACAAACAGTAGTAGTCCACATGCAAATTTACAAAAATTTAATCTCAATTAAAGGAACCCAGTTATGTCCCTGAAGTCTCTCTTCCCTCTCAGATGAGAAAACTGAGGCTCTGAGCGTAAGGTGCTGACGGGAAGTCACCACCAACAAACGCTGTCAGCCAGGACACCCCAGGGTTCACTGCAGCCCCTCTCGCGCCCACGGTGGTGTCAGCTGGCATCACAGGTGCCCGTCTTCTCCCAGCCTCTTCCCGACAGCGTCACTACTTATACTTTGCATAATGGGGATGTGCATAAAGTATTTATTTTAATAAAAAGGTTTTGACTACTTAAAAATCAAGTCTGACAAACCACTCACCCGAGTATTCCATGACAGTCCTAAGCTCACGAACTGAAGTGATGGTTCTCCGAGCGGGAGCCCACCTGAGATCAGCCTCGCAACTGGTGAGAACCCCCAGTCTCGGAGTCTACCCCGGGCCTGCCGAACCCAGATGCCTCAAGGCTAAAACGCTTTGTGTTCCTTCCACGTGTTGTTACGTGTTATGTTCTAGCTCATAAATCTATGGATTAACGCCTTCACGAACACGTTTTAAATCAAACAGACATTCATTACTGCATCTTAAAAACATAGATGTTTGACACTCCTGTGATAACCATACAGACAAATTCCACAGACAGGGTCAGAGACAAAGTCTCTCAGAGTCGCCTCACCTCTAAGCTCTCTGCAGAGAAGGACAGACAGCACATCTCCAGACCCGAGCCCTCCCGGCACTTGCGTCTCAGACAGCGGCCCTCAAGCAGCCCGTGACGCTGGAAGCCGCCCAATACCCCAGGAAGGTTGTTAATATATTTGAATTAATATAGGACCTGATAAAAAATATTGTTCAGTTATCAGTTATTCCCAGATGGACATCCCAAAATGAATAAAAGGACGTCCATCTGGGAATAACTGATAACTGAACAATATTCTTTAACAGGTCCTATACTAATTCAAATATATTAAGCTTATATCCGTTATCTTCCCCCTAAAACCAACGTCTTATCTTCACTCCTGACAGCACCATCCTCCTCTGACTGAACCTAATCAATCCACAAACCTAACCTCGTTCCAGGAAATGCAGGGGGTGCAGAACGAGCCCCATGGCACCAAAGGTAACAACCAGACAAATCCAGAAGGTGAGACTTTTAACAACACAACTACACTGATCTCTCTTCAAAAAAAAAATAAATCCATGCTGTCTAACCTCTGGGTGCAGCGTATGATCCCAGAGCAAATCCAGCAACGGGAGAAAAACTTTACAAAACAGCCCAGCACTGGGACAACTGAAGAATCTGTCACATGACGTGACAGAGCTGATAACCGGAAAACCCCCTGGGCGGGACGGGATCCGTGTACAGGAATTACATAAAACAGTCCTGTGTTTAGGCAATGTGTGAATTATTCAGGGGTGAGAAGTGTCATCATATCTGTGATTTGGTCTCAAATGGTTCTGCTCAGAAAACAATCAGTGCTGTTGCTAATGTAGATTTACGTGCACACAGGAAGAAGGCCAAAGCCCCAAAATGTTGAAAATCGGTCACTCTGGGTAAAGGGTTCAGCCTACCCTTCTGCAGTTTAGAAACTTTTCAAGAGAAAATGTTAAAAATCTGTCATTTTGAAAAACTGGGGACCGTTCTGATCTAAGAGACCTGATTCACGGTGGAGGCGTCACTGAATCCTTCTTGGGGTCAAAAAAAAAAAAGCCCACTGTTGTAGACATCGCAGACACAGCTGGGGGAACTTCACAGGGACTCAGTGTTAGATGATACTAGAAAATCACCCTTAGTTTTCCTCGGTCTGATATCAGCCTTGTGGACACGTAAGAGAATGCCCTCATTCTTAGACGATGTGGGCTGAGGTAGGCAGACACTGTCACGGCATATGCTTTTTACTTTAAAATAGTGTGTGTGTGTGTGCATGTGTGTGTGTGCGTGTGTGTGCTTGTGCTTTAAACCGGCAAACTGGTGACAAAGCTCTAAGAGGTGGGACTCCCAGCCAGGATGGAGGTGGCTGGGGACACCTCACAGGTGAGTGGAGCCGGGCAGGAAGCTGACACCCCAAAGGCCGCAGAAGTGACCGGAGGCAGCTGGCAGGAGCCAGGGGGATGCCTCTGGGCAGGAGCTGGAACCTGGACAGAGACTTCGCCTCAGCAGAGACACAGCCCGAAGCAGAGCGTAGGGGGAGCTACTCCAGGGCCTCCTGCCGTGGGCCTCCCACCTCCCACTCCCCAAATCCAACAAGAGGTCAGCTGACACAGCTGTACTTTGAGGTTTTCACGACAAGTTGGGGAAAAGATCAATTTTAAACAACCTCAGTGACCCAGGGTTCACTAGAGTAAGGGAGCCGGCGCCTTCCCATGCAGCTCCGAGTCCTAAACTGTCCTGCGTATCCTGACAGGGGTGGGGGTGCCGGGAAGGAGAACCAGGTACCATGCATCAGAATCCTTAAAACTGAACACACCCACTAACCCAGGACTTTACCTGCGCAGTTACATGGTCATGATGTACACATTCAATCAGATGTTTCAATAAACAATAATACAGAACAAGAAACCGGCTACGTGTCCAACAATTAGCAGTTGCCTGAGTCCATCCAATCAGGGAAACACTATACAGCAACTCAAGGGCTGTGCACAGAATACCACGGAGTGTCGTCTCGCCCGGAGTCGGAAGACAGTGCAGGCAGAAGGAGCCACAGACAAGAGCCAGAACCACTGCACGCACGCGGAGGCCTCGTTACACCTGCTGGTTTTCCATAATGAACACGTATGTACAGCTTCACAATTCTGTCCCCTTACATAACCGTGACCACGTCTCCTCCTTTCCCTTCCTCCTCGT